CGTTCTCAGAGAAGATCTGGGGGCTGATCTCTGGACCAGCCTTTCAACAGGGCTGAGCCTCGAGGAGACCTCCTTCCACTTGTTCGAATCTTGATTCGACAAACACCTACTGAGAACCCGACACCATGCGAGGCACCTGGGCAAAGGCAGAGGTGACCCATCAGCTTGGTAAATGGGCGCTATTAACTCGGGTCACTGCCACTGGGAAAGGCCACCTAAAATCAATTCATCCGCCAAAAGGACCAAAACGTCATCATAAATAGTGGGGAGTTAAGGACTCTGAGAATTTATCTTGAAACCAAATGCTGTGAAAATAAACTGATACAAAGATAAAATAAAAACAAGCCTTCAATGTGAGGGGCTATAACAGCAAGCTACAAGCTAACTGCTAAAATCGAGTAAGGTTGATCAAGCGCCAATGGGGCCAGAGTACATTTTTACACAGAATTGCAGAGCAGACCAACGGGCTACTCTTGAGTTTACGTTTCCTCTCACAGGAAGATCAAGAGGGACTCCCGCCCCCAAATGTTACATGGCTTCCTCATTCCTCCCGAGGCCTTCCCTCAACTCCCCAGTGTGCACCTCACTCCTCGGTTATCTCTTGCTCACTTGCCACCTAGTCGGATTCTGTCAACGAGTTTCAACCAACCCAGGGGTCACTTCCATCAAAACGTCATGAAATGCTACGTCCCCAGCACCGTGTGTGGCCTCCCTTGGCAATCAATTTACATTACGTTGTGAAAATGCACCTGAAGGGCAGGGATGAAAGCTAGTGGTGAGACAGACAGACAGACAGACCGAAAGTGGTATTTAAAAGGGGCCTAAATTTATCGGCAGTTTATTGGAGAATGGCTTCATCCTGTGACAATGGCCGCCTCCCCAGGCAACCTGTGAACTGAGGTGTCCCACAAAGAAAGTCTCGGTTACAGGCCGTCCCTCGAGTAGGCGTGCGCTCTCCTTGGGATATTCAATGACTTGATACCTTAAGAAGCATCTTTTTACAAATCCCTTCAATGAAGAGCCTTGAGTTTCTGAGATTCGGTCCACCTAACGTCCCAGCTCCACCTTGACCCTGAAGTACACATGAATGAAGAAGTTCTCTGAGCCAAGAGCGACACTCCTGCCTGTTGATGGTCACATTTAGCCGGGCGGTCTTACCAGACCTGGTGCTACTTAATATTTAAAAAAAAAAAAAACGCTTCCAGCTTCCCCCACTACCCCGTTGCTGGAACCTTGGATGGGACAGACCACTGAATTCAGGTTTAAATAAAAGATTCCGTTCTCGGGAGGGTCTCAAAGACTCCAATCCCTCTAAAAAATTATAAATTAGGTCTTTATCCTTCATACCTCCTCTGGCCTCTGCTTGCAGACGACTTCACTGCCAAGCCATCTGTTAGCTCTAGTGATTAGCACCACGCTATTGGAATAGTTTAAAGAAGAGGGAAATTAAGCATCCTTTAAAAAATATTTTTCAAAAACATCCTCTTCCTCTTCTCTTCATAAGTTGTTGACAGGAAGATTTCGCCAAAAAAGAACAGGACAAAGAATCCGTGACAGCATCTGATTTCAGCCCCCGGACACAAGCATTCTTGCCTCTGCTTATCTTAAGAGGTTTTACTGATTCTAGTTGACCTGTGAGGATCGGGGCCAAAGGTTTTCCCTACCTTTTAATTGGGAATTCCCCACCGCCCCTTCAAAGACCATTCTCAATTTCTTTGTTGGGCTTCATCAGGTACCCCCAAGTTACGGCCCCTCAGGTCACCCGAACTGGATGACGCTCTCGTTGTTCTGCCACGGAAAACAGGTCCTCCCCCCACCCCCCGCGGCCCCTGCCAGAAAAAAAATATACACACAGCTGCATGAACTCACGAGTGCACATGCACACACACACTCACACACACAGACATGGGAAGGTCAGCCGTGACCCCTCCCTCCCTGAGAAGCCAGCCCTGATCTCTCCAGGCAGGAGCGGGCAGGTCAAAGGATAGGAGAAAGCTGTTTGTAGACGGTGGGTGACCGAGGCCCATCGTCGGGCTCCTTTGAAGTTAACAGTACTTTGTCTTCAAACACCCAACACTCACGGTGCCTGTCACTCTGCTGTGAAATATCGGTATGAGCGAGTGGTGGCGATAAAACCCCCAAGCCCCTTTGATTTCCAAGAGGTATTTATTCTAATGTGCTCTACCACTCTCCAACTCAACGGTGTCCATCACGACCTGTCCAGCCCGGGCTTGCTGGTTTACCCAACTGGCCATCCCTATTCCCACTCTGACACTTCAGTAAGGAACAGGGGGTGATTAATACTCCCCGGGCCAACACTGAGCCCACACCGTGCAGGCTCACAGCTGTTCTTAATGGACATCCTCCCCATTCTCCCAAGTTGCCGGGGGGGGGAGCCCTTTGAAAATGGGCACTGGTGACCCAGGCCTCTGGCTCAATCCGCTTCTCAAATAATAAACACAAAAGCATTTGTCAGCACTCTGGGCTGTTGCCGGGACATTATAATACCCCTGTGTGGGGCTACGTCCCAGGGGGACATCTTAAATATGAATGGCCCCTCATTTCTTAGCTCCACATTCCGACTTTGTTTCTGATTGTGTGTGTGTGTGTCCCCGTGAGTTCACCCATCATTCATTGTGCCTGAGTTTGCTCTGAGGCTTTGGTGTGAAAAGCTCATGTTGAGGTAAGAAGAATATAGAAGTGGGATTTCTCCCAACATGGAGGGGACTCAAGATCCTCTCCATGAGCCCACATGGGTGGGACCAGGACCCTTTCCCCTGAGGCTGAGAGAAGCCTTTACAGGGAAGAAGGAGTGAAAGGGACAAGGAAAGGCCAGAGGCTTCCCAAGTGGTGTCCCTGCTCACACTGGGACCCCCAGGGTCACCATGAGCACGGCGGCTATGTGTGCAAATTAGGAAGAGGCACCCGTCTCTACTGGCGGCCTGTGGCGGGGAAGGAGAGAGGAGCCTGGCTCCTTGCTTTGGGCTGACAGCCCCACAGGCAGAGTGCAGGGCTGGGGGGATGCAGCCATGAGCCAGGGGACCCTGGGGCCACCAGGAGCCGGAAGAGGCAGGAAGGCTCCTCCCCTGTAGCCTTTGGAGAGAGCGTGAGGCCACCAGCCTCCACAACTGTGAGAAATTTAATTTTTGTTGTTTTAAACCACCATGTTCATGGCGATTGTTTCAGGCGGTGCCCAGATGAGGCACCAGCCCTGTGACCGCCTCCCACGGGGCCGTCTGTCCTCTCCGGAGTCTGCCTTCTTGCCCCTGAGCCCAGCCTCGCCACCTGCCGGTTCAGAAAGCCTCTGTTCTCTTCTGCCTACATCTGCGCTTCGATACAAAGCCCCACGTCTCTCAGGAAAACTCCCCCAACACTGACCACGTGCCCCAGGCTCACTGGGCACTCGGCACATGCCAGGTTGCACGCAGGAGGCTTAGCATGCATGGCAGACGATGACAAGCCGCAGGTATCAGCCGCCGCAGGTATCAGCCGCTGCAGGGCAGCAGCTCTCCGGACCCCCACGTGGAGCCGCTGGGAAGGCAGAACCTCCGTCGACGGCCTCACTGTGTGGACACTGACCCCAGCGTGATCTGGGCAAATGGCAAACAGCTAGACCGCTGGTCTGTCTGTCGTCACCCTTCCCCACAGCAGGGACCACTGTCCTCTTCAGCGCAGGGCGCACCGCTCAGGAGCCTAAATGCGGCCATAGATGGTCTCCAGCGGCGGCCCGGTTTGGCCCAGTTTAGCCATCTTTAAGGCACTGGGAAGAGCTGGTGGTGGGAAAGCTCTGCCATTGGGATAACTGGCAGAGTTCCAGGTGGTTCTCCTGGGGGGAGGGGGAAGAACCACACAACCAAACACCCCCGGGCAGCTCCCCAGGCTGCATTTACGGAGAAGGAGAAAAGTACTGGAGTTGAGGATGTGGACAACGGTAAAGCTGGGCAACCTGAGGCACCCCGCCTACGGCCAGGACCCCATCCCAGCCTCTCCCACACGAGTTTAACCCTTGGTGTTCCATAGCAAAGACAACATATTTCCTGGCCAACCGGTGAAGCAAATACTCAACTTAAATTCTGAGAAACAAGCCACAGGGAATCCTCGCCCAGGGGAGAGGGCTTTGGGGGCTGGGGGGAGGGGAGAACAAGAGAGCCACCCGCCTGCAGGGGGCACTGGAGCTACATAAAGGTGGAGAGGAAGGTGCCCCCCGCCCCGGGCCAACTATCCCCAGGGACCAAAACCTCAGCCATCAGACACAGCCCAGGGTCAGCCCTTGAGCCAAAGAGACAATAATCAGCCACAAAAGGCTGGTAATTCAGTCACTGCGGGCCAGATGGGACCCTGCAGCCTTTCCACAGATGGTCTTCAGTTTTCCCAGTCAACACCTTGCAAACAAGGCTAAGGCAGGGCCCATTACTGCTGGGGAGGGGGAGCCATGGAGGGGGACGCAGGTCTAGAGAAGTTGAGTGATTGGTCCTGGTTGCCCAGTGATTACGGCTTAAAACAGTCCTGGTTCCAGGAAGCGCTCTCCATTAGTTCATCCTTGATTTATTTCCGAGCATGACAGCGTGCGCCTCTGACGGCCTGCACGGCAGCACCGTGCCCTGTGCCTCCCGCGCGCGGTAACTGCCCATCTTTCTATTGCACACCCACTCTTGAGCCCCACGCTGACCCAGCTGCAGTGGCCCTATGGAAGCAATCAAATGGACTTCTGTCTCAAAGATGGCCTGACTCATGATTTTGAGGTTCTGGAAGGCTCTGTGCGCAGCGCGGGGTCCGGCACACCCAGCCGCTACCGAAGGCAGGGTGCTGACTCCTCAGCACTGGATTCTCACTCATCTCTCCACTACCTGGGGTCACACGTTTGTCCTCACACCTGCAGGGACCCCAGGGCTAGGATGGCCGGCTGCTCCCCCCCCAACCCCCTGCAGCGGGCAGCATCTAAGGAAGGGCCCGGGACCTCAGTGTGCCCCACTGGGATTCACCTCCAAGGAGAACATTACCTGCCACTTCTGAAGAAGCCTTCCTGGGGGTCCCGCGTGGGCCCAGTCCCTCGAGTGTGAGGACGTGGCGGTCCTTCCTCGGCGCCCTGGGCGGCCTGCGCAGTCTGCTGCCTCTCAGCTGAACACGGCTCTGTACAAAACCCGTCTTGTACCTGTGGGGCAGAGAAGCACACATGTGGTGACCAGCCTTGAGAACACGTGACCAGGAGCCCACGCGCAAACACTTAAAAAGACGATGCGCAGACGATAATGCGGGTGCCCTCAGGGGTGCCTGGGAGGACACCACTGAGAAACTCTGTACCCTTCCCGTCACCATCTCCCCGCGCTGTGACACAGGGCCACACGGCTGGAAGGACCAAATGGGATGGTGCTTACAGAAGGCTTTCCATGCACTTAGCACAGAGCAAATGCTTAGTACAGGTTAGCGGCCGTGTCATTAGACACCCAATCACATGGTCTACACTACTTAATAAACACGTTGCTCAGTACAACTTCCTGCAATGAGGGCAACGTCTATAATCTGCACTGACTGACAGAGTGGCCACTCACCACAGGCGGCTACTGGGCATTTGAAACGTAGTTAGTGCTTCTGAGGAACCGACCTTTACATGTGATTCCATTTTAATGAGTTTAAATTGCCACGTGCAGCTAGTGGCTACTGCCTTGGGCGCCGCAGGCTCAGAGGATCTACTTTGAAAACAGGGGCCTCATATACTTTCCATCCGGAGAAGCCCTTCCAGGGGTCTCATCTCCAAGAACAGTACTCACATCCCAGTGGGAGGGCATGATAAGGGTGGAGAAAGAAAATACTAGAGCTTATATTTATTTGCATCTAGACCTTCTTGGATCCACGGCTGTACGCCCTTTGTAATATACACAATACATTAGTGGAGTAAAACACGCATAATCTCTAGGTAAACAGTTGTGCATTTACTGGGCTATGCAACCGAAGGGGCAACCAAAAGCAGACCAGCAAACTGGTCCATGCCACCGTTTTGCAGGCGAAGCGCACCTGCTGTGCTCTGCTACGACACGCGAGATCGCGGCGCCAAGTGGGGCCTGACCCTCGATCCAGTGGCCGGCACCATCTTGCCCAGGCCACCATCAGCAGCGGTCAGCTCTTTGAAAAGACCTTTGCACTGCCTCTCTCTGCCCATGTAAGTCACAAGGACACCATTTCTTTCACAAGCCTCAGTTTACAAGACTCCCACTCCCAGACGCTCTGCAGCCTGGGGCGAAGGTGAGGCGGCCTCTCCTTGGCCACTTTCCTTTCTCATCCATCTGAGCCACTGTCAGCTCCCAACTGCAGTCCCCTAATCACCAAGGCTGCTCACAGAATTTTAAATAAGGTCTGCAGAACGCTGTATTCTCTCGGGCGCTGATTTTTATGGCATCGACAACGAGAAAGTGACTTTTTGTTCATCTTTCTGCAGCCTGGGCGCGTTGGGGAGAGGCTCCGCTACCTCCCTGGCCTTGGGCAGGAGCTGTCACCCCCCAGGGGGCCCTGCCTTGTTCTCTGAAGCAGTCGCCCCCGCTTGTCAAGACCACAGGTTCCTGAAAGAGCTATCTGAGCCAGGGTGGGGAGCTAATCACAAGCCCCAGAACCAGTCAGGGCTCCTGCTGGGCCCAGACAGAGAGTGATTTCAAAGTGTAGAGACAAAGGGAGGGAGGAGGGTGGGGCAATGCGGGGAGAATTCTTCTCTGTGTGCTGCCGGTCACCTTTCCCCCAAGCCAGCGGGTGTTAAGAAAGGCACAGTTTGAACTGCAGAGAGGTTTTGCTTTTGGAAAACTAGTGAGGGACTGCAGTCGATGAAAATAACTAGGAGACTGCGGTAGAATCCCAGCCCCTAAAGGTGGGATCTGGGCTCCTTTGCCCTCGGAGCGGACTGCCTTCGGAGCAGTATCTGGTTTGGTCACCCACATGGGTCTGCTTCTCCCGGCCCCAGGCTCTCTCAGAACATTCTGCATGCAGCCCCTCATGGGCACCATCCTCTGGGCACAGACACACCCGTATGGCAGGGGAGGCAAGGCCGTCACCACCCCCAAGGCCTCCTGCAGTTCAGCAGATGCCATGAACACCCATCTCGACCACCTTTCCCTCACTGCGTATCGTGTTCCAGATGCTGGGGTGCTGGCGGCTGGTGACTCACATCTACCCACTTCTCAAAAAGGCTGCCCTTGGCTGATGGGCGCCATCTTGCCTAGAGAAACCTGGGGGAGCTTGCACACACCCCAGGAAGGGCCCTAGCCACTGACAGTTGCAGGGAGTGACAGCTCAGCCCCTCTGTCGGTGACACAGTCACTCTCTGGTGCATTCCACACCCCAGAGTCTCCCGTGGGATCAGGCAGGACTGGGCACTCAATGGCACCTCCTGCTTCATCCCTCCCTTGCCCTGGTCTGCTTCCCTCACTACTGAGAAACCTCCCTCCACAAATCACCTGTCCATGAATGCCCATCTCAGGCTCTGCTTCTCGGGAGCCCAACCCCAGACACATGATTTGCCTCTAACCCCTATTTGCCTATTCCCTGCCCGCTCACTCAGATACGTTTCACAAAAGTCCTTAGATTCGCAAGGATCCTTATAAATATGTAGTGTCACTTTTGTGCGTGACATTGTCCCTTGCACAAAGCCATTCTTTTTCTGTGATTTTACTCAAGGCCATCTTTTTACAATCTATCTAGGTTTCTACATTTATGTCTAATTTGCTTTTAGCTGACCTGTAGAGTGGTTTATGCAGATCCTAATAAGCTGCCATTTAAGGTCCAGATTTTAAATTTAATTACTACATCCAGTATACCTTCTGCTCTCTTGGGCTCTCCAGAAGTCTGCCTTTAAGAGCCACCATCATTAACACTTACATAAGATCAGCACAATGTTTTTTGTTTATCGGCCTCATGGAAAACTGCTCAGAAAAAAGGCTTCTTGCCCCACATCAGCTCCGGCAGGGATACTAGTGGCTGGCTGGCCAAGGTCAAGAGCTCAGGGAACACCAGTTTTAACTAGAGTTCAGTGAGAAGCTCTCCAAAGGAGGCAGGGTGAAGTTTCAGTCAGGTATCTTGAGGCTTATCACCGGCCTACCTGCCTGCTCTGACCACACCCTCCCCACCCCACGTACACTGGCGGCCCCTTGTATCCACCACATCTGAGGGAAGGAATGTGGATCCAAGGAGAGGGTCTTCTGAGTTTACACAGACCACTTGGCACATGTTTATCCTGGGGGTGGGAGAACATGTCTTGTCACGTTATCCCTTTCATTTGATCCCACGGGGAATCGCAAAGCAAAGGTAAGGGAAGTGGAGGCACACAGACCTTCAGTGTCCCGCTAAGCAGAACACAGGACTGTGGTCCAAGCTTCTGGTGCCTCGGTGAATGTGACGAAGGGTCTCAGCCAGGTGCAGTGGTAGCCACCACATCTGGTGTGTGTCTCCCCCTCGGCTCAGACACCGTGCCGTCACTCCTGAGAGTACCACCTCGTTCAACAAGTGAACTGCATCAGGACTCAAGTGAGCAGGCACGCGTCTCAGACAAACACACACCCGCTCTAGAAGGAAAACTTTCATTCTCAGAGCCTTGGTTTTCTCTCCATCCCGCACCTTCAATGACATATATCTTGGGGTTTGCAGGGCACGCTTCTCCCAGATGACCCCCACTCTCTTCCTCGCTCACTCCGACCCACCAGGGACTTCAGAGCTCGTTATTCCACTTGTCAGAAGCTTCACAGGACAAGCGTTCCATGCTCCATGCGGCACTGAGCGCAGTTACAGATTCATCAATAAAATCCAATTCCATGGTCCAGCACCTGCTCCGGGCACAGCGGAGGCAGTGGCTGTGGGCACTCTGAATCTCTGTGCCTCTGGTTCGTGGCAGGGCAATTAGGCATCCAAGTATGAATTTTCTACATTCTTCCATTTTACTCTGAAAACAGACCCTGCATTTTCTAATCCCTCTCCTTTAGCTCATGGACTTTCATTAATGAAAACAACCATTTCCATTACAGTGTGGTATTTGAAGTCAGGAACAAATGAAGAGACAATGGAATCTAACAGAGGACCCAGAAATAAACTCCAGGTAGGAGCAGGGAGTTAAAATATAGCAAATGGGTGAGAAAAAAAAAGTGAATTAATCTGGAGGTCTGCAAGCTTTTTGTATAAAGGTCCAGATATTAAATATTTTCAATTTTGCAGGCCACATACCATCTCTACCACATATTCTTTACATACATTAGCTTTTTAAAAATGGAAAAACCAAGTCTAGCTCACAAGGGCATATAAAAACAGGTCAAAAGTCCAATTTGACCCATGGTCCATAGTTCTCTATATGGGCAAAAGTAAAAATAAATCCTTCCTTACATTGTTATGTAAAGAGAACATAGGAGAATAGAGTTTTGTGTTTGTGACACTGAGAGAGTGAGCGTAAAGAAAGAGCTCTTAGACAAGACCAGAAAGTAATGCCCATGAAGGACAAAGCAGCCCCTCCTGCCTATCTCTAAATACACACCTTCCTGATGATAAAAAGAAGCCCATTTCCAACAGTACAGTTGACTAGTTAGTCTGGTTGACCACCATCATATGCACCTTTATACTGAAAACACATATATATATATATACACACACACACACACATATACATATATATACACACACACATATACATATATATATATACACATGTGTATATATATATGTGTATATATATATGTATATGTGTGTGTGGTGTATATATATATGTGTATATATATGTATATGTGTGTGTGTATATATATGTATGTGTGTGTGTGTGTATATATATATATATATATATATATATATATATATACATGTGTTCAAAACTTCATCAAAACCCAAGTGAAAACTGAACCCTGAAAAGGTAAGAGAGTTTTCATCTCGAGAGCATTTGCCAAACAAACCAGTTGAGCTTGATCTTGTGTTTCTATGATCCGGGGGAGCTGGGACTGGGGGAGGTGGGGGTGACAGGATGGTACACGGAGCAGGATTCAAACCCAAACTCAGAATCTACCCTAGGTGCGAGCCAAGGGGCACCCGACATCTCTACTCCTGCAAAGCTGAGACCTCAGAGGGCTGCACCCTGGAGACACAGGTGAATTAGAAATGATACACCCTGGCCTCACCACCCTCCCAGGGAACGCTGAA